GCACACCTGGCTAATTTTTGTATTTTTAGTGGAGATGGGGTTTCACCATGTTGGCCAGGCTGGTCTCGAACTCCCAACCTCAGGTGATCCACCTGCCTTAGCCTCCCAAAGTGCTGGGATTACAAGTGTGCTTGACCAATGCTAATTTTTTGTTTATGTGTTGCATTTATCTTCTTTGTCCATGAAGTGTTCAGTTTCTATCAATGACAGAAGATGCTAATTTATTTCAGGAGCTTAAGTCCTGTTTTTTAACTAAGTTTTCATCTGTCCAGTAGCTAGGATCCTTATTTCCTCCATCAAGAAGAGAGATTATATGGCTGAAACAAGGTATTTTTTTTAATGTGTGCTAAATAAACGGAAAAAAAAGAAAAAGAAAAAGAAAAGAAGGCCAGGCACAGTGGCTCACACCTGTAATCCTAGCACTTTGGGAAGCCAAGGCAGGCGGATCACAAGGTCAGGAGATAGAGACCATCCTGGCTAACATGGTGAAACCCCATCTCTACTAAAAATACATAAAATTACCCGGGCGTGGTGGCATGAGCCTGTAATCCCAGGTACTCGGGAGGCTGAGGCAGGAGAATCACTTGAACCTGGGAGGCAGAGGTTGCATTGAGCCAAGATGGTGCCACTGTACTCCAGCCTGGGCTACAGAGCGAGACTCCGTCTCAAAAGAAAAAAAAGAAAAAGAAAAAAGGAAAGAAAATAAAAGAAACAAACAAACAAAAAAACCCCCACAAAACAACAAAAAAGAGTGCTAAATAAAGGAAGAATCTCTCTGAAATTGTTTTTAGGTGTTTAATTTCTGCCTTAGCATGACCTGTAAGACCCTATACCATCTGCCCCTATTTTCTTCACTCACGTGTCACGTGGTTCTAGCCACACTGGTCTCTCTTCTTCGTTTTTTGTTTGTTTGTTTGTTTGTTTTGAGACAGTCTCAGTCTGTTACCAAGGATGGAGTGCAGTGGTGTGATCTCAGCTTACTGCAACCTCTTCCTCCCTGGTTCAAGAGATTCTCGTGCCTCAGCCTCCCGAGTAGCTGTGCACCACCACGCCCAGATAATTTTTTGTATTTTTAGTAGAGATGGGGTTTCACCATGTTGACCAGGCTGGTCTCGAACTCCTGGGCTCAAGTGGTCCGCCCACCTGGGTCCCCCAAAGTGCTGGGATTACAAGCATAAGCCACCATGCCTGTCCTCTCTGCTGTCTTTCAAAAGGGTTCCACATCTTCCTGCCTCAGTGCCTTTGCACTTGCTATTCCCTCTCTTCTTCCCCCAGATATTTTCATAGGCCCCTTCCTTACTTCCTTCAGATCTCTGCTCAAAGCAATCTCACAAGAGAAGCCTTTCCCGACCTGTATAAAACAATACCCTCTGACTCCATCCTCTTTCCTTTGTTTTTCTTCAAGGTATAACATACTGCATTATAAATGTATTTGCAGCCAGGCACGGTGGCTCACTCCTGTAATCCCTGTTGGAAGGCCAAGGCAGGAAGATTGCTTGAG